ACGGCTAGAGGTTAGAGCAGAAATCTTAGCATTAAGCCTAAGAGAAACTATTCGACAACTCATCATACTGAGGGGAATAGTATGACTAGCCTGATTCAAACGGTAATCGGTAAAGGTAAATCAAACCCGTTGATAGCTGAGAGTTTGCTAAAAATCCTAAAGAAAGCCAAATTCGCCCTAACTCATCAGGAACTTCTTTATTCAAAGTGTTCCAGACCACACGCGAGTTGGTTTAGGTCTGAAAACTTTGAAGGGGGTCTTGTAGACGGTAAAAATTACCTTGGAAGACGAAGCACGAAATTCGCCTGCATATTCAAGCCGTCCGCACAGCTTAGAAATTAAGCTCACCCAAGGAGCGACCATAGACCCGCCTGCATGAAGCTCACCTCGCCTGCACGAGTCAAGAGCGAATTCGCCTACAAACGGCAAGCTCGCCAAACTCACCAGAGTACTTGGCAGCCGCTATACCACGTACAGGGATGGACCTTCCCACTCCCCACGACGTGAAGGGAATGAGCACAGTATTCCGAGCCCATCAAGTATCCGCTCACAGTACGAGTGATTGGTCAAATCCATGCAGTCGTCAAGACCGCCTGCATGAAGCTTGCCTCGCCCGCACGAGTCAAGAGCCAAACTCGCTTGCAAGCAGCAAGTTCGCCAAACTCACCAGAGTACTTGGCAGCCGCTATACCATGTACAGGGATAGGTCATCCCACTTCCCGCGACGTGAAGGGAAGAAGCACAGTACTCTGAGCCCCTCAAGTGGCCGCTCATGGTACAGGTGAGCGGCAAGATATCTCCCAACAATACATGATCATATCCCATGATTCAAGGAGTGGCCACGCGGTCTCTCCTCTATTTAAGAACTTCTTCCGGCCACGGAGAAGGGGTTCAGCCGTTCAGCAAATAAGGGCAATTGAACAGGTTCAGCAAGGGCAGAAGTTCGATTAACTTATAGTTAATTGATCAGTCAGCTGAACCACAGCTCTCAACTCTCGACGGAGTTGATGACAAGCTCTTTGCATGATCTTTGCATTGTAGCCCCTCCTCCTAGCTTTGGGTCCTGATCGCCATCGAACTCGGAAACTCGAACTCGACTAACACGAGCTTCTACTACGTACTGAAGCTCACCAGCAACCTCGATCGAATCGTCCAAGGGAAGCAGACTCGGTGCGAGAATCGAGCGAGGCGTCCTATAGCTACCAAAGTCCCCACGTTAAACAAGGAGGGCCTTCCCTCTGCTTCTGTTGTAATTTTGATTCATTAGTTTATAATAAGTTATTCTTATCAATACAAACAAAATCCCTGTTTCGGGAGATCAAAATTTACACCTACAGTTACAAGTGCATGTGCATTGTGTCCCTCGTAAATTGAAGCTGTAATTATGACCGTGATTGTCTGTAACCTGTCATTCATCTACAGCAAATCTAACAATCTTCGTTGATCTCGCCTGCTTGACACGAGCTCCTATAATCTCTTCATTATTTAGTGTCAACAACGTCACCCACTTTGCTTCATCCTCTCACTGCTTGACAAAATAGTGATTGAGTCTATAAAATGTCCTCGCAACCAATGTCTGTATGGACATTGCTCGAGCCCCATTAAGTACCCCGTTGAAGCTTTTAGAACAATTAGTTGTCATCATACAAAATCGATTTCCTCCATCTTTACTTAGTGCCCACCGGTCAACTTAATCACTTCCCAAACTGCTCTCAATCCAATCATGTGTAGCTTGAGATGTTGCCTTGATTTGATCCTGTATCCGATCATACACACATATTTCGGGTGTACGACCCGCTTGCTAAAGAAGGTTTTGTAAATGTATCTAACCAAAGCTCTTTTTAAAATTAGCTATAATGTGTCGTAAGCAATAACGGTGATTGTGATGAGAGCCAAATCTCATGTATAATACTTTTGGAATACCTTTCATCCTATCGGATATAAAAGTAATTTTTCTAGGAGGCAACACATTAAAAATATATAATTGAATGCAAGAAAAAAAATCACTTCTAAGTTTCACTGTTCTCGACCTCCACAACTGCGAAATCAAAGGAAATAAGCCATCATCTGCATCTACTCCTGTAGCAACAAGCAATACACCCTTATATTTACCGTATAAGTGTGTGCCATCAATGCTAAGAACTGGCCGACAAAATTTAAATCCCTCGATCGAATGACCAAATACCCAAAATGCAGAGATGAATTGGTAAACTCCCGGATTGATCTCTTTGGTTATAAGTTTGTATTCAGATCCAGGATTGCTTCTTTTGATCGCTTCAAGATATTGAGGTAGCGTCGCATAAGACTTCTCCCAATCACCAAATATTTTTGTCGTCGCAATTATCCCTGCATTTCATACTTTACTATACGATATTTCAATAAACTTCGTATCTAGCACTCTCTCAATTATATTACCGGGAGTTAGTTCAAGCTTTTTCTTTAATTTTGGCATAATCAACTGCGTTATGTAAGAGGCAGATGCACCACTGTGATCTTGCTCTAATATCGGATTGCTACATATGTGAACACTGCATTATTCTTTGATCCTAAAATGCCCATTATGTTTCTTTCCAGCAAATGCATATAACTTTCAAGGACATGCGTAATCAGCTTTATTTCTCTCGACCCGACCTTTCCTTTGTGTATTCATAAAACAGATTGCATCATAACTTGTGTGATTGCTTTTAACTTTCTTGAATTTGACATTCTTTTTGATTGAGTAATCATGAATCGCATCAACCAATTGGTTCTTAGTCTCGAACAAATCACCAACTCTGAAAGGGACGTCATCATATCCTCTATGAGTTGAACTTTGGTCAATGCACATATTTTGTACTGTGGAAGAACGAATTCACTCGTCATCTTCAAACTCGTCGGGGGGGGGGGGGGGGGGGTTCTTCATACTCAACATATTCATAATTAACATAAGCCTTATTAGGCCAATCCAGATTCTCTTCAACATCTTCACTCACAAATTACATGCTATCAATTGGTGCACTATCTTGATCTTCACCTTCAGAGGCGTTGCTTCTTTCATCCTCTTTAATTGTTGCCCCTCTTAACGACCTCATATTTTCATAAGGGACTTTATTGTTCATGAAGTTTGGTGTTCCACCGAATGAAAGTGCACCACTGTGATATTGAAATTGAGTCCGCTCCATTTCACTCAAAGAAGCTGAAAGAAAACTATCAGACTCAACTCCCAAATCTAACATGCGTGAGAATTCTCCTAAAGGGTTGAATATTTGGCACGAACTATATGACAACTTTTCAATAAACAATTCTACCATTGGTTGTGACTTGCTCAAATTAAACATAATACTCATATGATGATCGTTTGAGATCTCAACTGCGGACGTTCTATCAAAAGTTATGGGCTAATTGCATATTATTTTTAGTCGGTACTCTCATAACTCGTTGTAATTCATTAATCAAGTCACGGTACTATATAATTTCGAGATCATTAGTGGCGTCGTTACCCCTCCGACGTACATTAGCATATTATTCATTTCATAATTAATTTTTCCACCATAAGAGCAAGCAATAAAAATCATATTGTTCAACCTATGCAAAAGAAAATTATATCATTTACATGCAAAAAAAAATTTAAAAATATTATCAATTACAACCCTAAACCCCAAATTGAAAACCCAAGAAGCAAATAATCTCATATAATTTTGACCAAAAACCCTAAACCTCAAATTGAAAATCCTAAACCTTTGGATTGAACATTATATGCCCTAAAAGTTTAATTTCAATTATAACAAACAACACACAAAGCATTCGAACCACTACAAATAGAGTTCAAACCCTAGAAATTCGTTTTTAAGAGAAACCCTAGATTTCTACATGTTAAAAGAGGAGAGAAGGAAAATAAGTTACCCTAGAGATCTTCACGACGAATTTCGGCCGTAAAATAGGGTTGAAATTAAGATCGGTGGTAGCAAAATGAGAGAGCGACGGTTTTGGAGAAGAGGGCGACGGCTGGGAACGATGGGTTTGTGGGAAAACGGGTTTGGGTTGGTTTATATAGGGGCGAGACCCAAAACAAGTAGTCGGGGTTGCCAACCCCGACTATTCTGTCCCTTAGCTAATTTCCCATTCGAGCTAATGGGGGGTGGTCACTCTCTGCTAAATGGTTGGGGTTGGGAACCCCGACCATTTCGAATTAAGTATTTTGAAATGGTCGGGGTTTCCAACCCCGACGAATTTAAATAGGTGCTAAATTAGTCGAGGTTTCGAACCCCGAATTAGGTTGACAAATCGTCAACGACGTTCGAAATAGTCGAGGTTGTCAACCCCGACTAATTAGGATCGTGTTTAAAAAAAATCGATCCATTTTCTGGCCACGATGCTGACGTGGCGAGAAAGTGGGTCGATTTTTGTAATAAAGTTTGAATAGGGTTAAAATTTAAGAATAAAATTAGGATTGGGTTTATTTAGAAAATTTATTCTTACCAAGAACTATTTTGGCAAATGTCATTGTTATACCTTCAATTTGGATGCATTTAAAGTGATCAAAGGCAAGAGTAAAATATGAGGTGAATAAATAATGTCAGGACGTATGTTACCCAAAAGAAATTATATGCACCTCACAAATTCAAACCAATATGAAGTACAAAGCTCAGTTTATGATACGGTGTGAGATAAAATTATCACACTCAAAATTTGTCTCCTATATCACTAGTACATAAACTCTCTCTCATCTTTAACAGATTACATGGAAAAATAGTAGTTTTTATTCACATATGTATGTTTTGAGGGTAATATTCCCGCAATTATTTACTCCAAGGGACACATTGCTACATAAAAGCAGAGCATTGCAATGCTTTCTAGAAACAGAAAAAAGAAAGTATACAAGGGATTGTATGTGTTTCAAGATTTATAACCTTGGATCCTGTTTTCTCACTTTTGAATGAAGGAAATCCCCTTCTGAATGCTCTGTGATAGCTCTTTCTTTGCCTTCTCTAGGCCAGCCCTGTCACAGGAGAAGATAATCAATTTAAAAGTACGGTGTGACGTTATGTAATTTTTCAAAATAAATAGGAAAAATTACGGAAAAACCACCCAATGTTTGGGGAAATCCCCTAAAGTTTTAAAACTAACACTTTTCCTCCTTTTTAGTTTCCATCAAACAGTTGCATGGAGATGATGTGCCTGTTTAGTGAGAAACATGCCCTTACCTGTTTTCGTAAAGGGAAGAAACAAGCATGTCTATTCATTTCTTAAAAAAAGAAACAAAGGCATTATTGACATCACATGATATCCATGTGACCTTCTTTGGTGGAAAATTCAAATGGAGGGAGTGAAATTGTTAGTTTTATTACTTCACAGGGATTTTCTTTCGTTCCTGCATACCTTAGGGGGATATTCTGTAATTTGCACAAGTAAATATCACCGAATGTTCTCCATAACAAAGTTATACAGTTTTCTTAGGCCTAATTGCACTTAAATACCCTATAGTTTCCCCTAGTTTGCACTTGTAACCTCAATTGTTTTGGTAGTACTTATATATCCAAAAAATATTAAAATTTGCACTTAACACCCTCAATTATGCAAATGTGAGAATTTCCTCTCGAAAATTCTCATGCGACACTCACATGCAATTTTTGGAACTTTTTAACTCTTAATATGAGTTAAATTTACTGTTAAATCCATCAAAATCATATTTTTAAAACTGAGGGCAGATTTAAAATAGAACCACGGTAGTTTAATGGTAAATTTAAAAAGGTTTTAGGCTTCAAAATTCCACAAGTTAGCATGGGTGTCACATGAGAATTTTGCATCGAGGTGGGTAGTGTT